TGCGAGCCCCCTTCCTCTTTATTTATTTAATTTTATTTCTGCTCCTTTCTGGAGAGCTGACCAGCCCCACCCCTTTTAGTACTAATGTTGGAGAGTGGTCCCTGTTCAATGTGGTCCCTGTTCAAGTGGTCCCTGTTCAAGTGATCCCTAGTCAAAGTGGGCCCTGGTCAAAGTGGTCCCCAGTTAAGTGGGCCCTGGTAAAAAAAAAAAAAAGGTTGGGAACCACTGTATAAGAGAAACAGAGGATTTTAGCCTGAGGGAAGGCGTTTCCTCCTAGGATACCAGCATGCTTATGTTTATTTTACATTTAAATGGCCCTGCAGGCCAAGCTGCAATATTGGTTTTGTAGCAATGGAAGGAATGACTGAAGGGAATATTTTCCTTGAGTACTTGTTGTTATTGCCTATTAGGAAGGAATTGAAAGGAGGAAGAATTACAGTAGCCTTGCCCAACTCTATGTCCTACAAATGTCTTAGATTCTTGCTCAAGGCCTAATTCAAAACATCTCAAGGGCATCCTGGTTACAACTTAGAACCAGAACCACCCCTGAAGTTGCTATTATGGCCTGTATTCGCTTGTAATAGCTCAACCATAGAGAAATAAAAATGAATGAAAGCAAGGAAGCTTGTGGATTAAAACAAATCCTCAGTGCCCATCTGAATGTGTGAGCCTTTTGCTACTATAAGTCTAGTGGGGTGAGGGGAGAGGAATGAAAGCAGAATATTTTAAACTTCTATTTTAGAAAGCAAACAGAAACCATGCTGTTTTTCAAAATTGAATTGGATTGTATTCCTTTTCTTTCCACTTTCACAGAGCACTGAATTAATACATAGATAAAATTGATATGAAGTTGTTTCTAAAAAGAATAATGTTAGCTACCCCATAGATTATTATTGGAAGACTTGTTGTGGCCATTTCCATTACCAAATGTAGGAACATTCCAGCCTTGTCAGTCTGTTTAAATTAGTCACGTCCTACTATACTCAGGCAAAGTGTAAAGGTATCTGCACAAACCAACTTGGAGCCAGTAGGAAATGAATCTGTCTACCAGAGATACTCCTTTAGACAAAATTATTAATGCTTAGTGGCAGGGAAGTGGCTTCCCTTCTTTCTGGGCTGAAGGATGGAAGAAATTCTCTCATTATAAGCCCATGATCAGGCTTGTGTTTGGTACAGAAGGTAGATAAAATGATTTTGCAGGGATGTCTGGTTTCTTTCCCTGAATCTATCTTATTCATCTTACAAACTGTTTTCAGACTTAATCACAGTGAACATTTTGTATACATTTGCCTGACAATAAATAAGAAGGATAGAGCGGTAAAAGTGCTGGGAGGAAAAACAACTTAATTATGACAGAAACAAGGACCCATTCCCTTTGTTTAGATTAACCCTCTGCTGACTAGCTGCATTTTATTCAGGGTTAGAATTAGCAAATGCCTTGAATAGCATGCTTTTGAATAACAAAACCTTAAAAAATATATAAATGATAGGTAAGATGTCTCCAAGACAGTGTTATACTATTCTATGAATATATATTTGAATATTAGAAGATATTGGGGAGATTACCAGACTAGTCTTGGGGCACGGGCAGCCTGTAAAATCTCAGCTTATATCTTAGGTTTTTTGCATTTTCACCCTGAAAGATTTCTTGCAAATGTTCACACATTGAGTGAGAAGAGGTATCTTGAGCATATTGAGGCATCACTATGAGATATTTCAGATATTTTGAGACTTTTTCACAGGTTTGCTTGTAATTTTCATTTTATTATTAGTATTATTAGTATCTTGCAAAAGGTGCTGTTCTTCAGAAAAAAACTTGAACAGAAATGCATAAGTTCACCTGGTAGTAGGAGAAGCAGAAAGATTATTTGTTTTTGCAAGCAAGATTTACATTCTTCTGTTAAAAGGAACTTAAAGAATCTGGGTTAGTTTTCAACCTGGCAGGAGGCAATTACCGATAACTTTCCAATCACGACTGATAAAGTCTAGCTAGACCCTTTCCAGTCTTCTTTTTCACAATCTGTGGAGTAACAATAACTTCTGGAATACAGAGAATTTGTATTTTCAAATACAAACTCAGATCTCAAATTCTATAAAATATTGGATTGGATTAGATTAGAAAGAATAGGGAGAGATAAAAACAAATGGGGACAAAAGTAACTGAGTTTACTTCCAAAATAGCCAACAATAGGCAATATTCAGGAGTAATCACAAAGTCTCTTACAAGGAGCAAATATCAGCTACTTTGTTCAGAAGGACTGGGACTCAGACCTACAAGGTAAAGACTCAAACCTGAAGGAACTGAAGAAACAAATCAACAAGGCAAAGTTAGTATCTAGCAGAAAATGGCAGAACATCCCTTGTTGTCACCTATAGTCCCCAGCTGGGACCACTCCAACACATCATTGGCAAGGGGGTGGGGGTGGGGGGTTAAGAGTTTAACACACACACACCCCAAAATGTGTCCGGTTTAAAAAAACCTGGTTTACTCATGAATTGGTTAACCAGTTAACATGCATGAGTAAACCTGACACAGTTTTGTGTCTGGCTACGACCCTGCTGGTACCTGCTTGTAGTGTGATGAGGGATGGTTTTCAGTTTCTATGATTCAAGAATCACACTAACTCAAAATAATTGCATTCACCTACCTGAATTCATTTTGCATTCATGTTGGAACTATCTTGCATCAACACAACCAACATCTCTATTTGAGAGACCTTTGGAAAATTACTTTTCTGATTCAAACCATCAGACTTCCTCAGCTGCTATGCCACTGCAATCTGGAGGTTTCTAGGAAACAAGGTCCCAAAAAGTAACTTTTCCAAGCTCTGGTATCATATTGGTTTAGTATTTGTGGTTTGTTGTGCTTTTAGGTTTTTGAGTTTTGGATGTGTGGACCTTGTAATATGAACAGCTTATTGAGATGGTCTATTTTATCAACACTGTCTGCTCTTTGGGGAAATCACAGAAATAACATCTCGTGCTACATATTTTGGTATTTTCTTTGTGTATGTGTTGGACTGGGTTGTAGATTTTTCCATCTAATCTAGTCTCAGACAGCTTCCAGGAGTGCTAGCATCCAGCCATTCTGTCTCCTGAAATGCTCTGTTCTTTTCCTACAACTGTTAACAAATTACTTACATATCTAAAGAAATGACCTTGTAAGTCAAATCATGAGGGTAGAATGGTAAAACTCCCAAAGCAAAGGAATCCTCTTTTACATCAGAGATTTAAATCTCTGGAAGTAGACCAGGGTGGTCAGGATGCATTGGAGAGAATATCGTGATAAATGCTCTCACTCTGGATGCGTTGTATGTTCCCCAGAGATGGAATGATACATCCCATAGATGGCATTTTAAGAACTGATAAGTTCGTTCATTTTTAAACCCCTGTCTTTCACTTTTCCCAGTTTTAGAAAAGGTAAGTTCAGAAATGTAATAACAAACAAGGACAGTGGAAACAAACAGAGAAGTAAAGTCAGTTTATATTATACAGTATTATTTGTTTCAGCTCTTTTTTGTTTGTCTGCATCAGAGCTTGGTAGCAACATGTTACACCAGTAACATTACCTGCAAAGCAAATGGATAACGTTGGATATTTTCATGGAATAGTTAAGAAAATTATATGTCAAAGGGATTTTCTGGGCTCATTTAACCTTATTCCTGGCACTGAGCTTTTTAGAAGGATTATTTTGTTGTTTGTGATAGAAAATATTGGTATGATCAAGTCCATGAGCTGGAGTTTTCATTTTATTGAATTGTAAAATATATTTCACACAAAACATTTGTATGGTCAAAGAAATAAAGCTACATGTGATTTATGATGAATCATTTTCAGGAATGTCATGGAATAAATGTAATGATTGGGGAAATAATTAATGTAGCAATCAAATAAACTGCAGCAAGATTGGATCTGATTTTTTAAATAAGTTTGCAAAGAATATAAGACATTAAAAAATCAGTGGAAAATCTTTGTATGAGGGTTGGAACTTTAATAGTGGCAACTATTTATTTGCATATAATACAAAAGTGATACATGCCACTAAGTTTTACACTCCTTCAATACAGTCGCTAGCATTGTGTACAATGCATTTCCAACAATGTGGAAGTCATAGCACTCCAGTTGCTGCGCCTGTTCTGTTGATAGTTCGAATGGAGCCATCTACTGCCACAAGAATCTCTGGAACAGTTCTGAAGCTAATGCCAAGAAGTGGTACCTTCATCTTAGGAATTTAGTCAAAGTCACAAGGGTTTAAGTCTGGAGGGTATGGTGGATGGTACAGGACTTCCCAGCCCCATTGATTGAGCAAATCAGCCACAGCTTGCACTGCATGTGGCCGAGCATTGTCATGCAAAATGATAGGGGCGTCCTGCAGAAAGTGTTGCTGTTTTTTTTCTCAAAGCTGGTCTGAGATGGTGTTCCAAAAATGAGCAGTAATACTGTGCATTGACGGTCTGATGTGGGGGAATGATATGCGTTAGGATTACACCATCACAGTCGTACACAAGAATCACCATAACTTTCACATTGCTGGGGTTCTGACGAAATTTTGAACATCATTACAACACTCACTTTAGACCACAAGCTAATACGAGGCTCAGTTCTTCGCGTCACTCCGCATGCGTGTGATGTAGGAAGGGCGAGTCTTTTTGCTCAGAGTTACGGTAGGTATGTAACTAACGTGTGGTATACGTGACATTATTTGGTTTCATTGCGTGGCATCTTTACATCAATGTTGCGACTATTAAAGTTCCAACCCTCGTATATCTTATGCTGTCATCCTGTTCAGTTCTTAAATAAGATTATATTAAATACCCTTAAAATATCAGTGCACCTATTACAGCTTCTGTGGCTTTTTCTTGACAACAATGCTTATAATTTATTTTCTGCAAGCTTTCAGGATTATTGTACATTGAAAAATACTATCTTTAAATAATGGTTCAGATCTTCTTTTCTTTACAAGTGGTTTTGATTTGGTCAATCAATTAAATCTGTTGCAGACTTAAAGAGGCTGAAGAAGTATGTAGACAGAAAAAGGGAAAATCACTTTACAATATAAAACAAAAGCATGATTCTGGAATTGTAAGTATAACATGTTTATGATATTGCTTCTGAACTTTATGAATACTAACCTAAGCTGGAAATGAGGTGGTTCTGAGTAGTTCAATTCTTGGTCTCAGAAGAAATCAATTGAAGGCCAATAATTACTGGTGGGTCTTCAGTACTGCAGTTATGGCTCCATAACCTAGTTATGGAACCATAACTTCTCCATGTTCAGTAAGATCACCTGAAGTGCAATCTGCTGCATTGGGCAAAGGAGGTATCTTCCATTGTCATTGGGGTGCAAGAAAGGTGATGTTTTCAGCCCCCTCCCACCAGTGAGCAAAGCTGCAGCAATCAGAATCAGGATGCTTGCCGTCACAGCATTCTGAAGTCCACCAATGATGGAATTAAACCAAATATGGCACACAGAACTCCCACGATGAACAGAAAAAATATATATATATCACCTCACTACCTCTGAGGATGCTTGCCATAGATGCAGGCGAAACGTCAGGAGAGAATGCCTCTAGATCATGGCCATATAGCCCGAAAAAACCTACAACAACCTATATCAGTGATTGGTTGGGGGGGGGGAGCGCCAAAATACTGTTTGCTTACCGTTGAAAATTACCTAGGGCCACTTCTGCCTTAGAGACTACTTTGGACCAGGAATGTGAGAGAGATGGTCTTTTAGATATTATTGGACTTCACTTCCTAGCAGCCAAAGTTAGACAGGTCAGTGGTCAAGTGAGCTGAAAAATGTTGTCTAAAAGTTCCCAAAAGACCACAGATTTCTCACTTCTACCTTTAAGCGGTTCTGGTGCTGATAACAAGATTGGGGAAAGTGCATAGCAGTCTAGAAAGATAGATCAGCCTTGCTCATCTTCTGTAAGTGCTTAACTAACTTATATCATTCTTTCACCTCACAGCACACATCTCTGAAGTGCTAGATGCTTTGAACATTGCAGTCATTTTAGTGCTAGGGCCCTGAGTGTAATTTATTAATAATTAAACAGGGCAATGAAGAACTAAACAAATGTGAAAAAAATGTTTTATTTTTAAATTGCTGGCTTGGTTGCATAAACACAAAAACACATTCAGTAATTATAATGTAAGTGCAGCATTTCTGCATCAGCAGCTTGCCAAATAATATTCCATACTGTTTCCAAAGGTTTTGCACACCCTTAATTTCAGCTTTTGAGGAGAGAACACGTAACTGCCTGGTCTATTCACAACAAACAATAGTTTACCATCCTTTCTCTATTTTAAGGAGTATTGCTCATGATGGCATATTAACTTCTGTGAAATTCTTAAACATATTTTATTGACTTTTCTTTGTGTTTTTCCCCCTAGAAAGCAAAGATAAGTATGAAAACATGAAAGAAGAAAGGCAGATGTCATTGTCCACTTGTTCAATTAACTCTATCCATCTGTGAGGAGAAAAGGAAAACTACATCATACAGCCCATGTCATTTCTTGAAATTGTTTTGCATTTCCCCCCTCTTTTTACCAACTAATATCTGCCAAGCAATCAGTGAAGAATGAGTCTGCTCCATGGGCAACCCAGTAATGGATATCATGAGTTAGAGACATGTCTATTTCCTGTATCCTGTGCTTCCTTCCAATCCAAATGTTATTTTGTAATGTGTGGAGGAATATGCATAATAAACTTTAAAAAAAACCAACGTGTGTAAGTGGTAATATATGTCCTAACTGAAAACTGTATAAACATCTAACATCATGCAAATGTTAGATTTCCATTTCTGCTGACAATATCTTTTCAAGCAAATACAGCTATAGCAGTGCATTTAGATTAGGTGGAAGAATTTCAGTTCTTGAGAAGTGTTTCTATCCATTTTGCGTTGACATTTGTAGTTGTATGTTGAATTGGTAAAGTGCTCCTTTCACACAATATGCTCTGTTCTCTAAATTTACTCTCTATACTCATTTTCATTTCTCATAGCCTCCAATTCCAAAACAATATGTTCAACATGGCTATCCTTATAACTCATAAAGTGGGGGGCATTTTCTCTTCATCTTCTGCCAGATATAAGTGATGGAAGCAAAACAGAGGAACGCTGTCTGGGTGCAGTAAAGTAGGATTAGTTTGGAGGTTTTTAAATAGACTTGGGTATACTATGTATATTTTAAGTGATCTGTTTATACAGCAATGAAAAGTTTGCTGTATATTTCCTAAGAATCTGCTGAACCATTCTGTTTGCAGGGCTAAAGACCTTTCCCTTTTTAATAATTCTAGATCATCAAGTTGATAATATGAACTTCAAATTTCTGTTAACAAAGCAAAGGATCAAAAATTAATTGAGGTGTTATATTTTATCTAGAACCATACTATAAATGACATATAACAGTTACAATTATTTGCACTTTTTAATCTCAGCCACCAGAAGCAATCTAATGATTTATCATCTTCAGTTTACAGTATCTCCTCCATACACTGTAGCTTCAGCTTTTCAGCATTCTGAAAACAGCTAAAATTAGGAAGATGTATATATATATCCCAAAGCCCTTTAGCATGGAAGGTGCTGGGGAGGTTTTGAGTTTTAAGCTGTTGATTTTATTTCTCCTCCATGTAGTCCAGTACATGATACCTGGTTGTCCAGAGGTTAATATATGGTTCCAGGAATCATAAGGGCTGCACAATTATGACCTCAGGAATTGACCTTTTAAATGCCAAGCACTAAAAAGATATATTTTTCATTCATTGAGAAAATTGTTTTCTGTTACGTGATCAGCCTAAAATTCTGTTGTGTTTCAGGATTGTTCCTGATAGTCCCTTTATGTGTTTTCCAAGAACTGCATTATTAAATCCTATAGTGTGACAGGAATAAAGTTATTTCTTGGGAAAGGGAAAAGAGAAGATTGTTACAAGAGACCTATCACAAGCAAATAAAGAAGTAAAAGATATTTTAATAGCACTGATAAAATCTCATGTTTGTATTTATGTAAACTCTAGTATTTGCTGTTTAACACTTGCATTTTCTTTCATTTAAGTGCATTTAAAACCATAGTAGCATGTTTCTGTTTTGTAGACTTCCCCTTCCCTTCAGTATCAACAGTGTGTATATTGCCATACTAAATTAAATAACAAAGATCGCTATGTGCAATATTGTATTTAGTGTTTCTATTCCAATTTTTTAGAATGTTAATTTATATGAAAAATAAAAGACATAATGAGATCAATGTTGTTGTTTTTGTTGGTAATGTTTGTGAGGAGATTAAATTCCAGGGAATCTATTTTGCAACCAAACCTGTATCTATGCTACGTAACAGACTGGATGAGGGTGAACAAACAGAAGTTTCCTTCAGACAAGATAGAGATATTGCTGGTCAGTTGGAAGGTAGATAAGGGAATAAGGATTTAGTGTTGTGTTTCTTATATGGCTGAGCTCCAGATTATCTGAGAGATCATATCTCCCTATGTGCGCAGGCAATGCTTGAAGATGCCTCAGGGAAGGATAGTTTGGAGAGGATACTTCTGTAAAGAAACTTTTCAGCGTCGTCTTCTGCAAAAAAACAAAAACTTCACACAGAAAATTAGGTTAGCACTTTCTCTGATTTTCTTTCACTGCCAGTTCTTTTGCTTTTAAATAAATATTTGGTTATTAGCTTTTTTTTTGCAGAAGACTCTTTAATACCAAGGGAGTGCACTTTGATTTTATTGTGTTTTAAGAATGATTTTTATACTATTTTAATTATTGATATTTCAATATGGTAGCTATTGAATTGTTTTCAAACTATTACATCATCAGCTTTTTATCTGTATTTATTTTTGTTTTAGGAACTTCATCAGATAGACTTCTGACTCCATTTCCATGTGCTTTCGAAATTGAGCCCCACAGGAGTCCCATGGAAGCCATCCCATGACATAAGGGCACTTCTGGTAGGACTCCATGGGGCTTTGTTTCCACAGCACATGGAAAAGAATCCAGAAGTCTGTTTTAAGGAGTTGGGTGTTAACCAAACCTGAGAAAGTGGGGAAAAGCAGATAAAGGATGGGAAAAGAGGGAGAAAGACGGAAAGGACATGGGATGACTTGCCATCCCAGAAGATGGAGAAAGATCAGGTAAGACAGTTCCCTCCACTTTCCCCTGCTTTCCTCACACCCATCTGATGAAGTCCTAAGTTACCTTGAGTCCCAAACTCAGGGAAAAGGCACAATTTGAGTGAATGAATGAGCTTGTTATAGGGATGTATAACTCCTTCAGTTGGGTTCTGAAGACTATATTGATCCAGGATGATTTTGACTAATATATTCATGCTCTGGATTGAATTGAATTGTCATGATTCAGTTTAAGGGTAGAATGGCATGGCTGAAGTACTTCAGATAGCTCAAAAGAGTTAAAAAGAAGTAGAAGAAGAAAGCCAGCCAGTTTGTCTGCAATATCATTGCCTAAGACATATATATATATAGTAATGTGATAGAGAGCAAGACTGAAGGAGATGAGATGCATTGATCATTGATAGCCTTGAGACAAAACATTCACCAACCATCTCCAATTACAGTGTTTTTGGTATGGATAACATATGGACATTGACATTATAGAATAAAGTATTACCAAGGTATTCCTTTATGTTAGTAGCACATGGGAAAAAGCTGCGGTGTGGGCTGAGCTGTTGTTGATTGGCATTTTAGTTTATCTCAATAAGGATTTTACACATCAACTTGCTATTCTGCTACGATCAGGCTAACATAGATAACAGTTACATTCCCTATTGAGCACTTTTGATGTTGTACCTCTCTTCAGTTGTGCAGTTGCATCAATTCATGAATATATGGTCCCACGATTAAACTGCCTTTGTCTTGTATGGCCTAGTGTAATCTTTTGTTTCCTGTTCTTATTAAGTTGTCTATTTAGTCAATCTCTGTTTTAAATGATGAAACTTATTTTCCCCAAGCCCAAATGCAAACCCCAATTATCCCTGTTTGTTGTTAGTTCTGAGATGTGAGATGAAATGTAGGCAATCCGAGTCACTGTGGAAGACAGAAAATCTGTCTGCCTTCATTGTAAGCAATACAGGACAAAAAATAAGCTGGGACAGGTGTTCTCAACCTGTAGATCCCCAGATTTTTTGGCCTTCAACTCCCATAAATTCTAACAGCTGGTAAACTGGCTGGGATTTTTGGAAGTTGTTGCCCAAAACACCTGGGGACCCACAGGTTGAGAACCACTGAGCTAAGATATTACAGCATCAACAATCTGCTCCCAGCATCCTACGAGACAGAATTAAAGGATCTTGGTCATGATAGGGTTATGTTCTTTTTTCTTTCTTTTCTTTTTTTGACAATATGTCATCATGGTATCTCAACTATCTTGAGAGACCCTGGATCCTGCACATCCTGAGTCAAACTGTTTTGTGTGCATCTGATTTCATTATTTCATGAGATTTTGAAATATAGTTTGCTCAAAACTACCAACTACTGAAAGTAAAGGTTGCTTTTCTAGAGGTTGATATTGAGGTCTTGGGATAGGTTTAACTCATACTCTATGGATACAAATGGATAATGTCACGAAAGCCAACAAAGCAACTGATGGGTTCTTCTGACTTTCTCAAAATGTACAAAACAAAATGCAAATTTTCCTGTTGCCAATTTTTCCTGTTGCCAATTTTTACATTTTTTTTGTCATGCAATATGCAACACAGAATCTAACAAGGACTTATATCCTTAGTTTTGTAGCTCTCAACAAGAAGATGTCATATCTTTAACAGAAAAATATTCCACTCACTACCTACTTTAAAAACCCTGATGCCATATATTACTCACATCTCCTTTCCTGTTGGAGGAATGCTATCCTTGTACTGGTGGTCTTTTTCAAAACAAACTCTGTGTTCTTTCCTCTACACTTCTTGGCTTTTCCCTATCCAACCACAACAATTTATCAAGACAGGAAGAGAAGCCCACAGCAATCAAAGAATAGAATAATTAGAGGTGGTCTCATTGTTCCTTGTGTGCAGTTATTGTTCCTGAATTCTGCTCATAACTTGTGTTGGATGTTCAACCAGTTACTTCAGAAATGGTTACTGTGGACTGATGTGTTAGAAAGAATGTTCTGTATTATGCATTTCTGGCAAGAAAAATGGGAAGGTAGCCCAAGGGGAAAAACTGAATTGTTTTCCTGATGCACTGTATGGGTTGGAACAACTATGGAAACATATGACAATTTACAGTTGACTGATTAATATGTTTACCACCAGATGGCAGGCTGATGTCTGAAAAACACCATATCTTTATGAATTTGATAGACATTTATTCTCATGCAAATGGGATAGACATTCATTCTCATAAAGTAGTCAGTGTGGACTATTGAACTATTGCTGCGAGATCACACAGGCATGCTTTTAAAATATTCTGCTACACACAGTTTAATGAAGTCAAAGAATGAGTAAGATGGGACAAGAATTCCAGTATCAGAACAAGCAATTTAAATAAAATGTTTATCCACACACACAGACACACACACACAAGATACAGTGAAAGAACATTCATTTTTAGTTTAAAAAACAAATTTTAATTGCAAATTCAAAGGCCTTTCAGATAAAAGAAGTTGTAACCTTTATGCATTTTAGGTTACTTTCATCTATTTCTAAACAGAAATCAGTAAACCAACATACTCTGGAAAAATTGTGAAAATAAAATACATAAAATAAATGTGTTAGATGTGTTTGATGTAGAATGCTAGACACTATTTTTCTTTGTAAAATAGATAAGACTAAGGACTTTATCTCACAAAGCCTCTACTCCATGGCAGTTGTGCAGTCAGAGATAGGAGATACATAGTAGGATGAGCACCTTTGATGATGCACCGTTCTTCCCTCACACAATTGTCCCAATTTGCAAAGTCATGGTTCTATGATCTTATTTTAATATACTCTTGTAACTGTGCCTTCTCACACTTCCAGTGCTCCTTATCTTTTACTAAAAACAATAAAAGATGTACAATAACTTTTCATTTTCAGCAATGGGTAACAAAAAAGGGCAAATGTAACTGGAAAGTATTAAATAAAGCAAAACAGCTTGGGAATAGTGACAAGAGTCAGAGAAGGATAATCCCACCTTCTGATATATTGCTGCCAGCATACTCGCACAGAAGTGGAGCAGATCCATCACACAAGGTAAGTGACACTGTTAGGAATTTTGAAGGATTATGAGCTATTGGTGGGTTTTGCCCATCAGTAACAATGGATCATTCTATCATGGGAAGGAGACAGACCCACATGAAATGGCAAAAGGGACTCCCACCAAAGGTGATGGTCCAGCTTCAATGCCAGTTTGTCTTCCTTGTGCAATAAGGTCCTCTGCCTAGAAATAAATGAAGGAGGGGAGAGTCAGAAGAAAAAAAAATTAAAAGATTTCATTTCAGTTATTTCTTTCACAATGCATATACATTATAACCCAAAAACCTAGATTGGAGTGATTTAATACTGGGGGTTACACACGGGTTACACACTAGTTGTGCTATTTAGCCCTTGTGTGGAATAAATGCCACATGAACAACTCAGATTGTGCAACCCTAAATTGCATGTGAACATTTCAGATATAAATGCATCTAGAGCAGTGGTTCTCAACCTGTGGGTCCCCCGGTGTTTTGGCCTTCAACTCCCTGAAATTCCAGCCAGTTTACCAGCTGGGTTGTTGTAGGTTTTTCAGGTTGTTTGACCATGTTCTAGAAGCATTCTCTCCTGACATTTCTCCTGCATCTGTGGTAAGCATTCTCAGAGGTGGTGAAGTGACCTTACACCTCACGACCTCACAACCTCTGAGGATGCTTGCCACAGATGCAGGTGAAACGTCAGGAGAGAATGCTTCTAGAGCATGGCCATACAACCTGAAAAACTTACAACAACCCAGTGATTCCAGCCATGAAACCCTCGACCATACAGTTTACCAGCTGTTAGGATTTCTGGGAATTGAAGGCCAAAACATCTGGGGACCCACAGGTTGAGAACCACTGATCTAGAGGGTAACTTACATATGCATAAGGCACCAACGGGGTCCTCTCAGCATCATTGCAATGACAATGTTAACTGTCTAGATTTTAATTTTATCTCCCATAATTTCTATTCAATGGATATATTTCATGACTAAAATGCCTGCAAACAACAAAAACTTCGAAGTCGGACACTAAAATTTGTATGTTGTACTTACATTTTCTATGTCTCCATAAATGCCCAAGTAATTAAAAAAAAATTGTGTAGGCCAGAATCTGCTATTATGGTATAGGTTACATAATGTTTTATATACCTAACTTCTTAGCATATATGCTAACCTTGTTAAAGAATTGCAAAGATGTGTGACGATGGGATAATGTCAAGATTACACGTATATGTATCACACTGTTGACCATAAATTGTACATGAACTAGTAACCTAATGCTAGGAGCCCCCGGTGGCGCAGTGGGTTAAAGCCCTGTGCTGGCAAAACTGAAGACCGACAGGTCGTAGGTTCGAATCCTGGGAAAGGCAGATGAGCTCCCTCTATCGGCTCCAGCTCCTCATGCGGGGACAAGAGAGAAGCCTCCCACAAGGATGACAAAACATCAGAAATCATCCGGGCGTCCCCTGGGCAACGTCCTTGCAGACGGCCAATTCTCTCACAACAGGAGCGGTTGCTCCTGATACGACAAAAAACAAACAAACCTAATGCTGCAGCGAAGAAGGAAAATATTATTCTATCCTGCATTAATAAAAGTATAGTTTGCAAGACAAGAGGAGTAAGTTGTACTATGTGTATTCTGTGCAAGTCAAAGGAATAAGCATGATGATAAAGCACAAAACCTATGAAGACAGAGTGATTCAGTCTAGTGAAGACAAGATACAAATACATAAATATCTAAATATTTAAATATCAGAAGGGTTGCCAGAGAAATAAAGTTGCAGATTTGTTCTTTGCTGCTCCAGAGGGTAGAACCAGGTATAATAGTTTTAAGTTACTGGAAGACAGCTTTTAATTGCATCTTAGAAGGCACTTCTTCATGGTATGAGCAATCTGGCAATGCAACTAATTATCAAGAGTGATGATGGGGTCTTTTTCTCTGAATCAGCTACCTAACAGGGATGTTGTGACTGGTGTTTATGTATGTGTGTTTGCTGGATTTGATGGCCTATGACTCCTCTTCCGTCTCAATGATTTTGTTCTATCATTCTATTCATTTGATGATGGAACCGTTTGAATCAAGTTATCATTTAAGCTTCACAATATAAAGTGATGATACATAAATTCCATATATTCCTAGAGTATCTTTATTTGCTCTATAATTTAACATTACACCTAGAAAATAATTACATTATTGTTATAACATTTCTTCCACTTAGACTTCATTTATAAAACAAAAAATTAAATATTATGAACCATTACAAGGTCAGCTCAACTCAATTCTTAATTATAAACAAAAACAAGCTGAAGGAGACACCTCCTGGCTGCAGCATATATGTTTGTCACATATATGGTGTGTACCTGGATTTCTCTTTCACCTGACATCATTCCTAACATAGTTTATTGGGGGGGGGGAATCTAAATTGGAATCCTCACAACTTGATGTTGGATTCTCATTCTTCAGGATTCAGCAGTTCTGAACACTCAGGCACCCTAATGCTTCTCACCCATCCACGTTGTCCAAGTTTGAGTTTTGATGTAGTTGTAATAATGTACGGCAACTGCAGCCAACAGCACCAATCTCAGCATTTTTTCTTGTACTTTCCCGAGTGCAGATTTGCCATTGTGTAATGCCAAGGGAGAAAAATATAAGGATAACATACCTGCCCAATCCCTCCTCCCCGTGCCAATCCCCATAAACCGATTCATGAGCACTAGAAGAGATCAGTCTCCCAAAGCTTCTTAAAACAGCCAGTCTCACATAATAGAGAACTGTGCCACTGCACCCTTGAGTTGGCACCAAACCCACAGCTCGAAGAAAACAATTTATTTAACCCTTTTCATGGTCATATCAATGCAAGGTGATGATTAAAAAATCTGCATAATATTAGTTTTTTCAGCTACAGCCGCTGTAAATGCAAATTTCCAAGACATGCTGTGGATGGTGGACAGTATTACTCGAGTAATTTCAGATACATCTAAACAGGTGTATATGAAACATTCTAAAGCCTAACATGCAACATGGTATGAATCCGCATGGTCACATCACTTTATACACAATACACTTTTTTTCTACATAGATACAAATTTTCATAAAAGGACGCAGGGATTGATTCAGCTGTGATGAAGTATTTTACCTTTTTTGCCACTGTGCTTTAATAAATTAAACACAATATTGTTTACTTTCTGTACAAATGTACTGTACTGATTTAGCATAAGATTAGAAGAAATTCATAATAGTGATTCAGGGGAAAGAAAATTTAAATATAACGCAAACATCTGGCAAAGAAATTAACACTACTGAAAATCCTGCTCTATTCAAAGAACCTGGTCCAATAGCTGAAGATGCTTTTTCTTAGCCCTTTGGATAGTTAAGTGATCTAAAAAATATGCATGCTCATGTCTATATTAACAAGTCTAACAACACTTTGCTATAGCTGCAGTACAAGTGAAACAATACAGCTGAAAAGTGTACTTGAGGCAATCTATCTGACAAGATGTATAATCCCATGCTTGATCTCGCAAGTGGAAAGTGGCAGGTTGATTATCTCCATGGAAGATAAGGCTCAGATGCCATTTAAAGTGCCTTTATCAGTCAGACTTCACAGGAACTGTTCCTGTCTCTTTCCATGTCAGCAATGCAGCCCAAAGAAGAATGCAGTAGGTTGGCAATTATGGAATGAAATATTTCAAAACGGAAAAGATGGGAAAGCATAAAGACATCACTGGGCTATCTATTCGTCCAAAGACAGGGGTGGAGAAAAAGCCAAAAGGCATTCCACATAGTGGAAGTGTTAAGTGTTGGATGTCAACCACTGGCCACCAAGGTAGTCTTACCCCTGTGTTGGATGCTTCAGTCATACAGACCCAGTGGTTAAACAGCTGCTTTGGTAATAGAGAAGGAAGCCTCAGAACAGCCATGGTTCCCAGTATACAAATGGTTCTGCTCCAGGAACATCTCCACCAAGAGAAATAAACACAATCAGACAATTTGTCTATAGAATATGACTCTGGCTGGATGGACTGCCAGGGCTCACTTTCGCTGTTTGCCTGTACTGCTCAAATTCACAGACATACAGCGACACTGCTTGACTTTCTGGATTTTCTTAAGTCGGAAAGGTGGGTCCAGCCCAGGGCACTCTAGCCGAACAGTGAAGGAGGTGACTTTCTGAGGCTTGCAGAAGGCACAGGACTGGAATGACTCCTCTTCCTTCTTCACATGCCTTGGGATATAGAAAGAGTTGCACTGGCCATAGCAGAAGCGGTTGATGATGGTGTGACTGATACAGCCCTCCTCACTAACCGTCTGGCGCAAGGGTTGGGTTTTGCACCAATCACTTTTCAGATACTTCCTTTCGGTGACCACCAGAGCTTCTTGGCTAGAGGCCAGGACCTCTTTGTTTAGATGTTGTCGCCTCTCTGAGTTGTTGCTTCTGCTGTCTTTGTAAGGAGAAGGGATGGCTCCTGCAGGACGATTTTTTCTGGTTTCTGACACATGAATCAGAGTGGACACAAGAAACAAGGATAAAGCGAGTTTCCAGATCATCCTGCAGGGAGACAACAAATTCAGGATTGAACACAAATGCAGGAAAAAAAATATCAAGTTTTCTTTATAGCCACTATGACTCCCCTTGTGGAGAGAATACGTGGGGCATAAATAAACATAATAAATGTATCATTCTAAGCTGCTCTGTTAAAGAAAGGAGAAAGAAAAGCTATATGTTGGTTGTGACAAATTTGATTGCAAATTATCTATATGCATTTGGCTGCATTTATATGGGCATCGGAATTATCTCTTGTTTTGAGAACATCCTCGCTAATTTGCCTTTCTCACTGGGATTTTCTTAAGATGATATCTGAAGTTTTATCCATGAAAGCAAAAAATCCAAAGTAATTTTTCCTCAGTTTGTACCACTGGCTTGAGCAGATATAAAAACAATTATCTTCTATGCCAGCAAGCTCAAGAGTACATTAATTTTATTCTTAAAAGTAGCAATGGGTGATTTTGGTAATTCTCTTTCTGCTTCAAGAAGTATTTGAAAACGAAAGTATTCAAATGCTATTTGATGTATTCTGAAAAAAAATAATGTCGTTGTTTTGCACAGAAATCGGAATTTTCAGCATAGGAAATAATATGTTGACACAGAAAATGAAGAACTTGCTGTAATAGGACAATGTATTCTAAATAAAAATTTCATGTGGTTCGTTTTGCATAGAAAACAACATTTTCTGTGCAAGAACTAATATTCTGCATTAAATATTATTTCTGATGCAGCACAAGCTGTTTCCTCTGCAGCTAAAATGATATTTTTGTGAAAAACAACATACGAATGTGGTTCAAAATAAGTTCAGAACTACAAATATTTTTATCATTCCAGGATTCTTCTTATCATGGTTTCTCCATACATGAAATACGTGTTTTTCAATCATTTTAAAAAAGCTTTTGAATATTCTTTTCAATCTTACACAAAATAAACACTTTCTTTTTTAAAAAAAATATTTTTATTATATATTTTATTTACTTTAACTTCTGGCATCTAGTGTTATTTTTCTGCTTAAACATATTATCTATCCCTCACCAATGTGCTCCCCTCCTCCCCTCCCAAGTCACAGCTTTTACATATCATATGTCAAAAATTTCAATTCTTCTTGTGGAGGTAACTTTCATTCTTTCTTTTTTAATCCTTTTTCAATAAATTTTCTCAATACATCATCAAAATTACTTTGTTTCCATATACCTCTTTTAACTTTTAATATACATGTCAGCTTATCATTTATTGCCAATTTCCATACTTCCTTGTATCACTCCTCTATTTGTATATTTATTTCTCTTTTCCAATTCCTTGCTATAAGCAGTCTTGCAGTTAATAAGTTGGTTATCACATTTTTATCCTCTTTTTTCAATTGTTTATTATTATATAATGATAATAAAGCTATACTAGGACTTCTTTCTATTTTAATCTTTATTATATCTTCTATTTCTCTAAACTCTTTCCCCCCAAAATTATTTACATATTTACATTGACACCACACATGTATATAGGTTCCTGATTCTTGACATCCTCTCCAGCAATTTTTTGAGTAGTTTTTATTTATATTTTCTATTCTTACTGGTGTTAGGTATTAACTTATAATAATTTTCTTTAACCCATATTGATACATTTTTAAAATGTCTTTGTCTCCATAATTGTTGCCACTCTGTTTCATTTATTTTTATCCCTAATCTTCTTCCCAGACCTCTTTGAGGATGTTATTTTTTGTTTTTCCTTCCTTTATTTCAATTATTATCTTATATACTTTACTAATTATTCCTTTCAAATTTTCATGCTCCTCTACAGCCCTTTCATTTTGTATTATTTGTTCAAATTGGTTAAGCTTACTTCCGTTTTTATTTTTTACCCAATGTTTAAACCATTGTTCTAATTGTATACAATGGAACCATGTCAATTTTATTTCTCTAAATTCTTCCATAATCGTTTGTTTCTTCATTCCAACCTTTATCAAATCCCCTATTTTGGGCTTTTCCAGTTTTGTTGTTGTTGTTTATTTGTTCAGTCGCTTCTGACTCTTCATGACCTCATGAACCAGCCAGCGCCGGAGCTACCAGCTTGCTCCATATTAATAAAACAACTGGAAAGATCTGAAACTTAAGCTAAGATCTGAATCTTTCCAGATGAGGACCCTATTCCAACCTTTATCCAATCCCCTCTTTTGTCTAATCTTTTCCCCTTAACTTTTTATCCATTAGAGAGCTACTTACCTAAGTAGAGAATTGATGCCCACGTCTTGAGCCATTCAGTCTTATTTTCAGAAAGTTCAGAATACTGCATGAACAAGAAAAAATGTTATTTTAAGTTAATAATGCTGGTGAACACTATCACTCTACATCAGGGGTCCTCAAATTAAGGCCCGGGGGCCAAATACGGCCCTCCAAGGTAATTTACCCGGCCCTTGCTCAGGGTCAACATAAGTCTGAAATGACTTGAAAGCAAACAACAACAACAATAATCCTATCTCATCAGCCAAAAGCGGCCCATACTTCCCATTGAAATACTAACAGTTTATATTTGTTAAAATTGTTCTTCATTTTAATTGTTGTATTGTTTTTAAGAGTTTTTGCACTACAAATAAGATATGTGCAGTGTGCATAGGAATTCATTCATGCTTTTTTCAAATTATAATCTGGCCCTCTAACAGTTTGAGGGACAGTGACCTGGCCTTCTGTTTAAAAAGTTTGAGGACCCCTGCTCTACATGAAACATGTGGCTACTGGCTAAACCTCTGTAAATATTTATGCATCCTATTTTGCAACGAAAGTTATTAAATGGTACCTATGTTCTTTAAGTCCTGTTCTTGAAGACAGATATTTGCTAATTAACCCAATTTTCTATGTTGTGATAAGAATGGCAATCAATTTGATTTTCCTGTAAATATGTGTGTTCAGAATCACAGTCAGAATGGAAAGCTATTATGTTCATTAAAAGATTTTAACTAGACTTCAGAGGAGCTGAAGCTCTCAATTTGATTTAGCAGTGGGTGATCATGGCCAAAACCATTGGATGTTAACTGGATGTTCAGGCCAAATTCCTTTCCAATCAACTAATTACAGCTTTCTCAGGAGATGCAACTGAAACTAGTATTATTCCTTTCCTTTCTTCGTTGCCAGCTCTAAGAACATGCAAACAATGAGTCAGATGTGAATAAAAGCTCATTTCATTATTGTAAAGCCAAACTATTGGAAAATAAATGTGGACGAGTGCTTTGCCTTCTGATCTTCTTGTGCATCCTGCTACATATGATATATAAAAGCAAGAAAATGAATTCACCCACTACTTGCTGTGAGTTTGTAGTTTGATGTTTCCAACTCAGTAATTTGAATCCAAATCTGCAGCTCTCTGTGCAGATTCATCCAGATAACTAATTCAGAGTTTCCTTCCTTCCTTCTCTCCCAGTTCCACTGTAAAAGTGTGGTTCTATAAACATCACTTTGCAAAAGAATGCAGGAGGAACTAGAAAACATCTTGTACCCTACTATGAATTATCTGGGGAGGGGACTAGTTTATTACTTGATTGCATTTCCGAATCATCTCTTCATTCAATGAGTGCTTGTGGTTATTTGTAATCAACCATAAGAACAACAAAAGGCAATAATTCCAAAATAAACTCAAACAAGCTTTCTTCCCATCTCTGCAATAATCCCAATACAATTAGGTCTGCTATCAGGTCCTATTTTTTCTTAAGCAGTAGTCTCAAAGTTAAAATTCTGATTTTGAAACTTCTTGGATTTTTGTTTCATTGTCAGTTTATTGCAAGAGATCTGAAAGAGGAATGCAAAACAGGGCAGACATCTTTAATAACAACACGTACCATGCACTGCTGAATAGACAAAGAGGATCCTGAAACAAATCGGAGAGTCAAAAAAGTTTGTGTGCTGGACTATGACTCTGGAGACCAGGGTATAAATTCCCCCTCAGCCATGGAAACTCAGCATGCCTCAAACTGATGGCCTCAGGGAAAATCAAGGGCAAACCTGCTCTAAGCAAATCTTGCCAAGAAAAATCTATGATAAGATTGCTATAAGTTTGAACAGACTTGGAGGTACACAACAAGATGATCAAATCAAGCCTAAATCTCGCTTGAAGCCAAAAGGACTAAATTGAACCTATCCTACTTCAACTATATCATGAGAAGATCTGACTCACTTGGAAACACAAAAAGGCTTGTTTAGGTAGAAGACAGTAAGGAAAAATAAGAATGCATTACAGATGGAGGGAATAGAGGAACCCATGGCTTTAAGAAGGGAAGATCAACCAGAGCTGTTGATGGTGACTTGAAGGGCTCAAACACATACAGAATCACCACAAATTGAAGCCTACTTAAATGGAGCTTAAGATGGCAAACATCGTTTCAAAAACAGTACAGATTTTTTTTTCAAATAATTTTTATGCAGAAAGATATTATTTACAAGTATGTGTTTAAAAGAAAGAGAAAAAAGGGTAACTGGGGTGTCTGGGTATGGAAAGATTAATGGGCTGGGAGAGCCCTACACTATTAGGTGATAAGAAAGAGAAATAGGACTGGGGTAACAAGAAAGGGAACAACAAAGACAACCAAAGTGGAGAAGATTAGAAGCTGAATTCTCTAAATCCCCCTCCCAGCTTCCCATATCCCAATCCTTGCCTAACGTTACCAAGCCCTTAACTAAGATTTTTTTTCTCTTTTCTCTTACTTTTTTCTTCCTCTATTTTACTTGTTACCCCAGTACAGAACAATTTATAAAGATAAAATATCAAACATTAAAATTAATAAAAATCATTAGAAGATTATACAAATGATAAAACTGCATCGTATAGCATTGAAAGCTCACCCCACTTCAATTTCTAACAGGTTGGTGATGTGAGGATGTTTTCAGTTGTGTCATCAAAAAGAGAGAACAGAAGGAGTTGCTTTGCCCTCACTAGGGAGGAAGGTCCAATGATTGGGTTCTACTAAATGAGCTTAGAAGATGATGGAACAGTCAGAAGGACTTTTCTATATAATTTTAGACATTTATGGGCTCACATTCCTATCTTATACAATGAGAAGTGTTCTGGACAATTCTACTAGGTTTTCCGGAATGAAAAATGGATAAAGTCCTATCTTCTGTAGAACACTGAATTTCAGCTTGTGTTTATTAATACCTGGTTATGTGATAAGCTACACTTTCTGAAATTCCTTCTTCTATGCAGACGTTAAAGGTTAAAAAAATCTATCTCTGGTTTTCAAACTGGCAGCCCTAGATATTGCCCTTTCCCACATTATAGCCATTCCAGAAGTAGCCCTTTCTTCCAGTCATCTCTCAGTCAGGATGCATCCTACCCTAGCTCAGCCTAAGGCAGAGTTCTCTATCTAATAAGCCACTCTGGATACTTTTCTGAAACCTTAATATCTGAAGGGCAGGGCAAGGTCTGGCAGACAGCAATTGCAGCTTTGGCTGCAGCAGCAATACAGTTACTAGATAAGCAACGTCTGGCACACTTCTGTATTACCTCAGGCTTTCTTTCAAGGCCAGGCTTTGGCAGCAGAGACTGCAGGTCAGCTCTTCCAATACTTTTACTCTGAAGTGTCAGGCCTTGAAACAGTCACTTTACACACAATGTTCAGCCAACGCAATAACCTTTTAAAGATTGTGATTTGAAGATTAACAGCGGTCCTTTCTTTTACAAAATGACTCTCTGGCTCCAAAGAGCATTACAATCCTAAAATGTCCCTTGCTTTAAAAGTTTCACTTGCTGTCATAATGCAATTGGGGCTCCTCCTAGTAATTAAATGGCTGTGGAAGAATGTTGCCTCATCGTTTACAATGTCTCCCTCAAGTATTGGGTAATGTGCTGAAAAGTACCAGAGCTCTGTTCTGTAGAGTATCATTTGACCTAGAAGCACCCTCGCACAACCCCCCTCCCCTTTATCTGCCACATAACATGGGAATCTACAACATAGCAATACACACCTGCACACATAGTATATAAGGAAAGCATTCTCACAAGAAGTTAAAGGATATGGGTATTTCCAGATGTCAAAACAAAAAATATTTTGACTGAAATTGGCATGTGCAAGGTGATTGTCCCTGCTCACAAGAATCACACGGCACAAGATCACACTGGATTAACAATGGCCATGACCTGTTTTATTGGTTACAGCTCATAACAGGGGTCCTGGATTCCAAATCAGCTAGCCCATGTGCTCAGCCAGTGGCATGAACTCCACTCGGACAGGTAATGACCCACTGTCTGATTTAAAACCCTTACCAAACTGCTAATGACATCATCAAGAGGACTGCGGAGGTGCCCATCCAGCAACCGATCTGTGCCCACCTGTGCAGCTACTTCCCTCAGCACAAGCAGGAATGAACAGTTCTGACACCATACACAGAGGATCCACAGTGGAAAAGGATACAGGACCCATACCAACCACTCCAGGTTATGACAGAAATAAACAAAGAACATGAATAAAACCAACAAAAATTAAAGGAACCAGCAAGTGGAGAGTCCTCAGATGCAACTGACTGAGGGAGCCTAGGCAGCCAACTAATATACAGGGCTGGCAGACCAGAAGGAAAATGTTTTCCCTCTGGTCCAAACCCTTTCAGGCAATCAGCTCACATCACGGTGGAAAGAGCTAATTGCATAGTGTTCCCACATTCCAGTCAGATGCACTGCTGGGAATGGGGAGAATTGGGGCAGGGAAAAAGATGGCAGGCAGACCACTCGTGCCTGCACTGCAACCACCTCACCTGGTAGAGTAGGGCATCTTGTACTGCAGTTTAATATCCATAACTGCTTCCCCAGTACACCGTATGAGCCATTGGCTAGACTGAGTCTAAGAGGTTCCTTTGTCTTTCTACCATGGTGTGAGGAAGATGGTTTCATCACCATTCCACTAGTGAAAAGAACTGTAACAATCAGAAGTAAGACCACATCAAAATTCAGCCTTTGTGTGTCCTGATGGGAAGGCAAGTGAACCTTCTTTGCCCAATCTGGCTGCTGGCTCTATAGGTGTGGTGAGGGGTGAAGTATGGCCAAAAAACACTGCTTACGGCTTACTTACACAGGTGTAGATGAAAAATTCTTGTAATAATTCTGAATTTGAAATAAGCGCTAGCCTAATCCAGCACTAGAATATGAATTTGATGGATATGTTTTCCAGTTTACTCTTATGAATACAAAGAATGCCCAGATATATCTTCATACAGAAAATTTGGAATGGAGGGAAATGTACTTGTTAACTAAAGGGCTTCCTGAAATTGAACCAGGATTAGTATTAGTATTTATATTCCACTTCTTCT